TTCTCTCCAAAAGTAGCGATTCCTCTCACCAAAAGTGGTGATTCTTCTCTCCACAAGTAGCGATTCTTCTCTCCACAAGTAGCGATTCCTCTCTCCAAAAGTGGTGATTCTTCTCTCCACAAGTAGCGATTCTTCTCCACAAAAGTAGCGATTCTTCTCTCCAAAAGTAGCGATTCCTCTCTCCAAAAGTAGCGATTCTTTTCCCCAAAAGTGGTGATTCTTCTCTCCAAAAGTGGTGATTCTTCTCTCCACAAGTAGCGATTCTTCTCTCCACAAGTAGCGATTCTTCTCTCCAAAAGTAGCGATTCTTCTCCACAAAAGTAGCGATTCCTCTCTCCAAAAGTAGCGATTCTTCTCTCCAAAAGTAGCGATTCTTCTCTCCAAAAGTGGTGATTCTTCTCTCCACAAGTAGCGATTCTTCTCTCCACAAGTAGCGATTCTTCTCTCCACAAGTAGCGATTCTTCTCTCCAAAAGTAGCGATTCTTCTCTCCACAAGTAGCGATTCTTCTCCACAAAAGTAGCGATTCCTCTCTCCAAAAGTAGCGATTCTTCTCCACAAAAGTAGCGATTCCTCTCTCCAAAAGTAGCGATTCTTCTCTCCAAAAGTAGCGATTCCTCTCTCCAAAAGTAGAGATTCTTCTCTACAAAAGTAGCGATTCTTCTCTCCAAAAGTAGCGATTCCTCTCTCCAAAAGTAGCGATTCTTCTCTTCAAAAGTAGCGATTCTTCTCCACAAAAGTAGCGATTCCTCTCTCCAAAAGTGGTGATTCTTCTCTCCAAAAGTAGCGATTCTTCTCTCCAAAAGTGGTGATTCTTCTCTCCACAAGTAGCGATTCTTCTCTCCACAAGTAGCGATTCTTCTCTCCACAAGTAGCGATTCTTCTCTCCAAAAGTAGCGATTCTTCTCTCCAAAAGTAGGGATTCTTCTCCACAAAAGTAGCGATTCCTCTCTCCACAAGTAACGATTCTTCTCTACAAAAGTAGCGATTCCTCTCTCCAAAAGTGGCGATTCTTCTCCACAAAAGTAGCGATTCCTCTCTCCAAAAGTAGAGATTCTTCTCTACAAAAGTAGCGATTCTTCTCTCCAAAAGTAGCGATTCCTCTCTCCAAAAGTAGCGATTCCTCTCTCCAAAAATAGCGATTCTTCTCCACAAAAGTAGCGATTCCTCTCTCCAAAAGTAGCGATTCTTCTCCACAAAAGTAGCGATTCCTCTCTCCAAAAGTGGCGATTCTTTTCTCCAAAAGTAGCGATTCCTCTCTCCAAAAGTAACGATTCTTCTCTCAAAAAGCATTGCAACTCATTCCAGCCCTCCAGAGTTACGCAGTAAAGCTGTGTATTTCACCACAAAACATCGATCGTATGCGCTTTGGATTTCCAACAAGTAAAGACAGAAACCAAGTCCATTGGAAGTCTTTCAACAGTCTCAAGATATGGAACCCCTCTCCTCCGGATGTATCGGCATAAAAGATGTGCATGAATCTTCCTCATTTCTGTCATTAAAATTATATTTCACAGCCGACGAAACAAGGACTTTTAAGGTTACAATGTCCATGACAGTTTTTGATTCGGAGCTCGCATGTCTGTGTTCTTCTTGTATTATAGTTTTGTTGAACTTACTATCATCCCTGTCATGTCCCGAGAGGCCTATGGACCATTATCATGTTGCGGCCATCTTGATTTTTTTCCCATTCAAATCAACGTTACCAAAGCGAGGCTGAAAGGCAAAATAGTCTGGTTCCTTTTTGCGCAAAAACCCATTATCATTCAGTACTGTTACTGGATACAGGGAACATGACTGAAATGGTGGCAGTATGATAAAGGTCTATTTCATTTTAAGAGTCTTTGGTCGTGAGTTGTGTTAAAAAAATATTTCAATACTATATCATCATCATATTGGAGGTGAAATGGTTTTGTATTGATTACATTGTTACAAGGGGAATCGTGTTCAGAAATGATCGATTAAGTGACCAATATCGAACGTTCAGCGTCGAGCTGACGTACTTGCTGCAGTTGAATATCGAAAGAAAATAGGCCTATGTTACAAGGTAATTGAAATTGTGAAAAAAATATCAGTGAAGTGAAAAATATGTGAATCATGGTCCAGTAACGACCGAAATAAAAAATGATGAAATGACCGTTATCGAAACTATTACCTGAGTATAATTTAACGGTTTATCAATTAAAAAACCCCGATCACACATGGTTGTTGTGGCTCTAAATAAATTATTTTATAACAGAAGTTAGAAGCAGCGAATACATCAAATTACAGAGGGTAATCTGTATGGATTAAAAATGTATTGATTAGTAAACTTTAGTTTCTCGATTTCGACGATCGATCGGTTGGCCCTGATGACGACCAATGGAAAATGGGTGTTGGGAAAATTGATCAGTTAATGTGTTCAGAATAGTTTAAATATCCATAATAACTAAGTATTATTACTCAGCGATGTGATATTGACTATGTTGTTGAAATGGTATTGAAGTTACATATGACTTCGTTATAAGGATGAGTGGTGTTAATTACATAGATCTATACGTCTCTATATCTAATTTGAAAACCATTACGTGGTCCATGTTCGATCTTACCTGGTTGCAAAATGTTCATTTTTTTTTATGGTTATCCATGAAAAGTATACTTATTTTTTATGGATTGATCGCGAATCGATGATCGATCGAGCATAATTATTTTGTAAGTTTATTGCAGTCTTTTAAGGCTATGTATTGGTAATTGATGAGTATACGAAGATATGATCGATCACGCCTTATTCAAACTTTAAAAAACCCGACAGTTTACGACACTTATTCATTCAAAGTTATTGCATTAAGGTTTTGTTCCGCTTCAAATCTTGTAAAATTGACCTAATGGCTTAGGGCCGCGGTTGCAGCCCAGTAAATAAATTCTTGCCACAGACCCCAATGATAAATGCCCCCACTTCAGAAATTCAGGAAAAATACTCAAAACTCTTAAAGATGTTCCAGACACACATCAAATTAAAGCTTATTTCATCATCTTTCATTTTCTGTTCAACTTTTGGGAGAAATTTCATTCAAAGATTATCACCCTTAAAAATAGTCCTGAATCCCATCGCCATTAAAAAAAAAAATGTTGTCTAGTATCCACTTGCAAAATAGCACTGTTAGGCCCCAATTTCATCCAAATGTCACAGAAATACAAGCTCACAGTCCTGTGCACGGCTTCCACCCTTTTTTTTTTTTACAAACCCACATGTTCATGGCCCACAAAAATCTAATAACAGAGTATTTGAGGGCATGCAAATCGTGATTTGGCCGGCGCAATATTGGGCCTATTTACTGGCCTGCACTGTTAATCACCTAGGGTGTTAAATCATGTAATGTGTGGGGAAAACGATGAATCGTGGAAAGTATAAAGTCCCACGATAATGTGACTGTTGATTTATAAGTAGAAAATCACTGCAGCGATTAATCTTTTATCTGGTGATTTTATTAACCATAATAGTGTGGATAGGATGGTATTTAAAGGGAGATGATAGGCCTTATTTTCGATTAATGATCAATGTAGAGCGTGTAGGCTTAAAACTATATGATTAATTTTATGTTATACATTAAAGCCATGTATATAACGTTAGCTATAGGCTTGCATGATTTTATGGCTATATCTATAGCTATGTGTTTATGTTAGCTAGACCTACAGCTAGCTATGTGTTAATGATCGGCCTACATCCATGTGCTTATATGCTAGCTAGGCCTACATACTAGCTATAGGCGTACAGCGTTTATTTGAGCTAGCTAGGCCTACACCTATGTGTTAATGTTGGCTAAACCTATGTGTTTAGCTAGGCCTACAGCTAAGCACTTTACCCCCCCCCCCCAAAAAAAAAATAATAAAAAATATAGGGGCCTACTTTCTATATTTTTCAAAAAATGGTGTGGAAAGGACGGCTGTGAGGGGAGATGGGAGGCCGTTTATAATTATTATGTACATATTTTTAATAAAACGGTAGTTTTGATTTTATCGAGATAAAAACGTTTTTCTACGACCATTTAAAACACTATGATAAAGTGGAATAAACTGCTATAGATTGGGGCAGTTTAAATCTGAATTTTCGATTTAATTTTGATTGGATGTACCAATTACTTTTTTTATTTGATAGTCATGGAATGTACTTTCCAATATCACGAACGCTTCGAAAATCCAGTGCCCATGATTATGAATAAATACGCAGATTTTAAGCTGCAGATGCAAATGCATGAAGACAAAAATCCTCCAGAATAGGAACATTAATGTAACACTTACTAAGTTATGCAGTGAATCCTTCTTAAAAAAATCCTAAATTGGGCGAGTTTAAGAAGTTTATGTGCAGTGTTTCGTCAAGACACTATTTTGTTTAGCGCGCCCTTTTTCGACAGAAACTTTTAGTTGACAAAAGTGTGCAGGTAAAATGCCCTTGCAAAATAGTGAAATAAACGAACTTCGAATTCAGTAAAACATGTATTTCTTCCTTTGCAAGAGGAATGTGTTGCTTTTGTTCCACAAAAAAAATGACTCTTATTCGGATTGTATTTTTGCGTTGAAAACACTATATTGTTTTTCGTCACAATTATTTTTTATTGTTTGATGGGTTTCTCATGAAATTAAATCTCCAAATGTGACACAGCAAGTCAAATCAATGGAAGAAATTGCAGCTTACTACAGCGTGCATTTCTTGAGGTATTGCCCAAAAAACCGAGTGTGTTCGTTTTTCATCAATAAAGTGATGAGGCATCCGTACCGTGTGGTGACCACTATTTATGTGGGGTGCCCTCTTTTGAAAGAAAATTAAAGTAGACAGTTAGGATGTGATAATAAGACTAGGAGCAAGTTTAGACATTCAACAGTCCGCCATACAAACTGGTACTACGCGTTGTACCATGTCATGTGGCAGTGGATATCGTGGCGCGAGACGGGTACCAGCGCGAAAGCAGAAAACGACGGACGCGTGCCTGGAAAATCTCAAATCAATTTACAGTAAACTGGTATTAAATAACCGTCTGAATGATGGAAACTTCAGAAGACAGATCTGCTCGCATTAAACAATTCAAGGAAGAACTGGAGGAGCTCGATCTAACCAACTGTCCTTGCGCCACAAAACTCATAAATGAAGGTAATAACAATTTCAGTTGTTGCCCACTTTCCGGACAATTTATAACATGCAGAAACAATGGGAACGTTTGTTGGCAGTGTAGGCCTATATTTAGCCGGCGCCGGCTAAATTTAAATGAATGCTATTTTGCTAGATAAGCACTGAACTGTTCAGAACATGCTAAGTCCCAATAAATGTGACGGTAATACTGGACTACGGCTGTATTAACCGTCACAAATCCACATGTGGTATTTGGACGGAGAGTCCGTTGCTATGCTAAGGGAGCCGAAAATCCATTCGAAATCGCAATTATTTTGTCACTTTATACTCACACAATGCCATCTACAACTGCTTAACATCAACAAAACGTTAAATTCAGCACCTTCAGAGGTCTAGTAATCTTGTAATTTTGAGTTGAATTCGGACGACTTTTACAGCCATTGTTCACGAAAGCGTCGTGTTGCATGACGTCATGGGTTGTGATAAATCGCGCCCTCACTAGCTTGCATCAAATTTTGACAACGTGCATTTGTACGGCTGTTGCCTGTCATTCAGTTTTGGTCAAAAGTGCATGTATGCGGGCGCACTTTTGACCAAAACTGAATGACAGGCAACAGCCGTACAAATGTGTTGACGCTGGGTTGATGACCGTTGAAGTTTGTTGACGCCAGTTGACGCTTGTTGACACATTTTAGTAGGACCGTCATGAGTTGATAAAGGTGTGGGGGCACAATTGCAGAATACCCCGCCACTCGATCTATGCACCTCGTAGCTGGCTACGGAGTCACGGTTCATTGCCCTCAAACCTTCTCAGCGCTACTGTGTGTAATAGGCCTACACACGTCATGCTCCACTGCACTCCCACTCCGTATCCGCGTAGCCGGCAACAGGGGAGTTGGTCTTTTGGGACTTTTTTTTAGCAACTCCCATTCATTTTGTGTTGCTTCCTTCTCAAGTGATTCCAACCTCGTAGCCAGAGATTTTAGGGGTGTATTTCCAAGTGGCGGGGTATTCTGTAATTATTCTGTAATTTAGCCAGCTAAATGTACACTTCCAAACATTGCCTGGTTTGCTTGTTGTCCAGACCCAATAAGCATTGTGAATATCGAAAAGGTTTGGGTGTCAGTCGTGTCTGTCCGGTCATGCTATTTAGCGTCAACAAAGTGCCAACCAGCGTCAACAACACAGCGTCAACAAGCTCAAAATGCACGTTTTTAGCTTTAAAAAAGATATGATATTCAACAAACTGCATATGTCATATTATTAGGCCTATGTAAGAAATTTGGAGAATTCACAATCCCACATAGGCCTACACGACATAAAAAAACCCCAAATTTTTTATGGCAAATTGGACATAATTAACCTTAACTCCCTAGGCATTTTGGCTTGGATGCTACCTCAATCCTGCAACATCCTCCAACTCCCTCCATGTAAAAATAGCATACAGCCTCAATCCTCCAAAATCATCCATTGTTTCTTGAATGTGGTCCTTGGAGGGGTGACCAGTGCCTCAATCCTGCAAAATCTTCCATCAAACACTGTCAATATGTTGAGGCAGAGCCAGTGACATCCTGCAGCAGTGCGTAGGAATTCAAGTGTAATATAGGCCTAAACTTATGCACGGCTGCGCATCAACAACACAAGGTCCGGACTAAGACCTTGACACAGTGCATCCTCCGAAATAGGCCACACACTTTTGCCATATAACCTCAATCCTGCAAAATCCTCCATTTTGCAAAGAGTATTTTGGATGATTTGGGAAGTTTAAGGTTAATTGTGATCATGAGTTGGATCCGAACAGATATCATGTCCAGTGTTCTCCAACATGTAGAACAAACCTGGCGCCCCGCCATGCTTTCTGCGGCGCCCGCCATGTTTAAGAAGTCCCCGCCAAGCTTTAAAATCCTGCCGCCAGGTTTAATTTTTTTGACTCTACAGTGTACATCTACAACTAAAATAATTGATTTCAGTTGTTTTTCCACACATTAACAGTGTATTTCGATGTCATCCCAGCCCGATCGGGGTTGTCTTAAAATCTCGCTGAATCAATCACACGCACGGCCGGCCGTGCAAACACCAGCGATTCCCCATGCACCGTACGACTATTACCTACGCGCGATGTACACACACTGCACTGAATCCCCAGTTCCGGAGTGTGCCGATACTTCAAGTAGCGACAACCCCGCCGCAAAAATATATATCTGTATTAGTACACACACACACCAGCAGGAGTACGTACGGCAGATCTTACGTGCAGCCAACCGACTTTCTTTTTCTCAGTGCTTGCACGCGCGGTACACAATATAATACGCATTGATGTTTTTGTACGAAGGCAAACGAGCTCGAGGCCAAAACACGCGTGCACATGGTGTTCCGATCATGCCGATTGTCAAAAGTTATAAATGGCGATCGTGTATGGGCCCGGTTCCCCATGGAGGAATAAGAATGTGTTCTTATTCCTCCATGGGTTCCCTAAGAGAACAAAATCCACTTTTAATTTATTTGACTTACCAAACTAGTTGGCGACATTTAAGAACATACAGGTAGGTCATAAATAGAGGGAAATTTGGGGGGAAAATGACGATGACAACGACAAAACGCAACATGAAAATAAAGATGACGATCGCACGGCACCGACACCACCCATAAAATCGCGTTAAAAAAAACGTAATTTGTATCCCATTTTGTTTTTCAAAATTACAAAAAGGTGTCATTTGATCTGAGAGAAGTCTGCTTTAGGTTGAAAAGGAAATTTTTGAATGCTAAAAAAATCGGGGGAACTGGCCTGGAGAATCGCCTCAGATTGCACCACAGAGCATCTAGAATCCAAAATTTTCCCGGGGCCCTTAAGCGGGCCCCGGACCCCACGCTGTAAGGGCTCCGCACTCGCAGGAGTCCCCGCCGACCCCAGCGCCAACCTTTAATTTTCAAAGTTGGAGAACACTGCATGTCAAAATCTACTAAAATTCACTTTGAAATGTCAGGAGATGAAATCATGCATAATTCTTTTCTTCAGATTTAAAGGTAAAAAGTTCATATTGATTGTGTCTTACATTGGTCATTGTTTGAACAAAGTGCCAAAATTGCAAGATTATAGAATTCATCAAAATGTTTTCTGTTGCAGAAATAAAGCGGCTGGAGTCGGGTACCATCAAACCACCCAAATACGTGGATATTATCACAGATAAGCCACTGAAGTTAGAAGTCAGGGTACTCATCCCCGTCAATGAACATCCAAAGGTTGGTAAATGTAAAGAATGGTTCATACTAGCCTGAAAGCAAACTAAAATGTGAAATTATGTGATGTCATGCCAATTTTTCGCACAGCAAATTTTTCATGATGTCAAATCGCTTCGTATTCGCGTTATGTTTGAACTGGCAATAATTCATGATTTTATGACTTTTCTTATGGGCAATTTATAAGTGGTTACTAGTTTGCTGGGCTGTTATAGAAATGAAAAGTCTAGGCGTACGTTATTTGGTCATAGTATTTGAGATAGTCGGGTGCAATTGTGGATAATCCCAGCCTCATAAATTTCTCATTAACCTTGCCAGATGCAACACAGTACAGTATAAATTCATTAGTGAATAACTCATTCGATGGGTAAAAGAGAAAGAGTCAACCAAAATGTTTTGAATGACTCATTTCAAATGTTGTTTCTCAATCTTAGTTCAACTTTGTCGGGAAGTTACTCGGCCCGAGGGGGAATTCGTTGAAAAGAATGCAAGAAATGACGGGGACGCGGATGTCCATCTTAGGACGAGGATCTCTGAGGGACAAGAAAAAGGTAGGATATCACAGGAGTAGGCTATGTTTGCAGCAAACTGCTGCTGAGTCGATTAGGTTTGTATCTAAATAAACAAGCTGAAATGTGATTGACGATTAAAGGAAATATACAACATTAACAAACATCAAAAATAAAACTACCAAAATATTATGAAATACCTTACTTGACTGTAAGTGAATAATAGTCTCAAGCATCCTGTTAAATCGTGGCACCTGCTGTGCTGTCATTTTCAAGAAAAGTGGAATTTTTGTATCAGTTTTCAACGATGGTCGACCCATTATGGTTGGGAAAAAAAGTGTTTTTAAATAGTGCCCCCAAGTTACCAAATTTAGTTGGTCCACATTTTGTTTGCAATCAGTTACACATCCGTGAACGGGTGCAAGCGAGCTAGTCTGGTTCCCTGACCTGACAATTCCCCGACGTTTATAAATTGCTACGTTTCGTCTGAAGTAAGGGAACCAGACTACAAGAACAACATTTTTTCCCTAGATATTTCCAGCATCTAGGAACACAAAACTTTAAACAGGTTGCTCTAGCAATATTTGCTACAACATGCTAGACCCCCAAATTCATCCACTTCTGAAAATTACAGCAAAAGCAAATGTTGTATTTTACTAATAACAAAAGTGAAATTGGATTTTACATTTACAGTATTCACTAATGGTAAATGAAAACCTCATGCAAAATGAGTCTAGCTTCGTATTATGAAACTGGCTTATTGAAAGGCCGTGCAATGTAAAGTGTTTAATGCAATCCTTGAAAATGCACCTTTGTGTCCTATTTAACCTTAGTTACAATTTTCATTTTGCCATTTCAAGGGTAGTTTGGTGCCTTTTTTTGATTTATGCTAATGTAAATTTCTATATTCATGAGCAAAACTGTGATGTCATTCCAGGCAGATATCTCAATGTTACAGCTATTTCAGCAGAAAAAGTTGTTAGAATTTGGGATGTTTTGCTGTTGTAAATTTTCTTTTTTTTGTTGAGTTGTCGTTGTGTTAGTACATGGAAATAAGCAAAACTTTCTCACAAATTTTTTCAATGAACAAATTTTGGGTTCACAATTTGAACAGAAAACCCCTAAACTGAACATTGTCTTCCTGAAATGACCTCCCAGCATCAGCCCCTCAGTTGTCCAGAAAAGCATGGACAATTTTAAATGTTTAACCCTAACTCCCTAGCATAATTTACTAGGAACCATACCCATCTTGGCAAATTCCAACACCATATGGGAAACTGCACTCACATATTTCTGTCTTTGATTCTGGAGGTGTGCCAACCCAATGTAAAAGACTGTCAGTTTAGGGGTACTGTACCCATCCTGACAGATTCCAACAAAACATGCCGTTGGATTTTGATGGGTTGGGGGAGGTTGGGGTTAAAGAAGTGCACTTTTCAATAAACTTAACCAAAAAAGGGATGTCAGATAGTTTTCATACATTTAAGAAGAGTAGATAGTTGCACAAAAAGTGTTCCTTACGTTAGGTTCACATAATCCTGATATTTTTAGGCCGAATCGCCGCGAATAGCAATTCTTGAGTAACTCGGTGAATGGTTCTTGGCTGCCTTGGAATGATTTTGTTGGTTCGGTGAAAGATCGTGAAGCGCCCCGACAATTTTGTACATGTTCAAAATTGTCGTGGTGATTTGGAAACCAATTTCAATACTTGGTTTATTCTTGTTGTATTCGTAACTAATTCTGGATATTCTTACAGCATTCTGGATATTCTTACAGCATTTTTAAAAGTTTCGTAGAGTTATTTTTGGTGTTATTAGTTCAGAATCATACCGAATCATTAGGAATATATCAAGAAATGTAACAATATTATAGGCATAACTTACGAATATACTAAATCGGCATACATGTAACTCTGGGTCATTCTGGATAATTCTTGAGTTATTCATATGATATTCTTGACTAAATTGCTACAATTCGGTTTTATTCTGCACTAAATCGCAATCTTTCGGCTTGGTTCGGTCTGATTCGGCTTCCAATTCGTACTTAGTTCTTGATTATTTTTGCTTCATTCTTGAGTTATTCTTACAAATAGCAAATCGGGGCTAATTTCTTCCGATCCCATCAAGAATTTTTATTCGGGATAGATCGTGGTATTCGTGGCAATAATTCGGGGATGTGTGATATTTCAGGAAGATGAACTTCGTGAAGAAGGTGCCGAGAAGAACGCTCATTTGAACGACGACCTCCATGTCTTGATTGAGGTCTTCGCTCCCGCCGCTGATGCATACAACAGGATGGCCTATGGAATATCTGAAGTCAGAAAATATCTCATCCCAGTAAGTTTTTCATCGTTTTACAGGGTGGTCCAAAAATGTTTGCACTGTTTCAGATGCAGATTGCTTGGAATTGTGGAGACATGTTATAATTGTTTCAAGCTATTCCTATACTACAGCATGTTCGTGGTATATAGTGAAAACGGCGCTGAAAATAAAGCCTAAATTAAGAAATGGCAATGGTTTAAAGAAAGACGGTCAAAAACCAGTTTGTCAACACGCAAGTCTATGAGATATGGTCAACATGATAGCACTGCATGCACTAAGAACTGCAGTAATTGTAATTAGGTTTACATGACTGCCATAGTTGTTTTTCTGTAAATGGCCGCTATTTCTTAACTTGAGCTTTATTTTCAATGCCTCTTTCACCATATACCACCAAGATCTTGTAGTAAACGAATGTCTTACAACAATTTTAACATGTCTCTTCAATTTTGAGAAATCTGCCTCTGAAAAAGTGTAAACCTTTTTTTTTTGACAACCATGTATTCAGTAACAAGAAAAGTGTCTTGCAGTGGAATATGGAAGAAAGTGGAAACTTCCAGAAATCCTTGCATTAGAATGGAACATCTTGCAATAGCCAGCAATGATGTACATAGTTGGCATTTAACTCTTATAAAAATTTTTTTTCTGATTTCTTGTATTGTAAATGTCCAAAAACCAATGTAATGAAATTTTGTGGGATCATGCTTATAAATAATTATGCAAAGTTAGTTCATTTATGAATTAAGTAAGCATTTTTCTATACACAGTCAATGAAAACAGGAACGATTCTTTTCCCATTCGCATTGAAATTTGCTTATTTGTGACATCACTACGATTGATTTTTATGAAATTTGCATCAAAATGTCCGGTACATATCAGTGTACAAGCTCAAAGGCTCAGCATGGGATAAATCGCTGGGCGATATTAGAATAAAAGGAAGGGGGGGGGGTGTCCTCCCCAGGCACTTTGAAGGTTAAATCCATATATGTTTCAATATTTAAACATTTGTAACGCACTAAAACGCTTTGTGTACTTTGTGTTCTCCAGGACCCTAATGATGAAATCCGGCAGAGCCAGCTGCGTGAGTTGGCCCTCATCAGTGGCTCCTACACAGAAGTCCCTCCAGGCCCTGGGCGTGGCTTTGCTAACGTGGGGGGCGGTGGCTCAAGGGGCGGTATTTCACCTCCTAGCCCTATGGGACGAGGCGGAGGTGGAGCAGGCGGAGGTGGAGCAGGCGGTGGTGGGGGTGGACCACCCAATATGCCAAGCAGGTTCCCTGCTCCTCAGCATCAACCCCCACAAGGACCTGGGAGGTCGTTCCCCGGACCCCCTGGTGGTGCTGGCACTTCGCCAAGTCCGTCAGTCAGAGGCGGACCTGGAGGAGGCCGAGGCGGCTACCAAGGAGGGTTTGGTAGGCAGCAACAACCGCCGCCTTCCGGGTTTAATTCTGGTAGAATGGGGCCACCGCCAGCAGCACAACAAGAGGTGAGATATTCATCAATCATTTATTCCCGACCCTGACAGGTGCAACACAGTGCATGCGCTCAGTGATATGGTTCACAGGTCACTCGGGATAATCGAACGCTCATTGAAGGAGCATAAGCGCGCACGGAGACGGGCGCACAACGCTCGCTTGTTAATTACAAGCAGGATGGGCATCCGCGTAACATCGCGTATCATCACATCTCATCATGTCGGCGATTTTATTTCAAATGACCTTTGACATGTACTACTTCATCGAGATAGCGAAGTGGCTTATTGTGAAGGGGGTGCTTTTTTTGTACAGAGGCATCCATCACAAAGACACTGTTTGAATAGCCCACATTAACCCTTACTCTCTGAGGGTAGTTTACTGCATGTCAGTTGGTTATGCCAATGCCCTCCAGCTGCAGTTATTTGGCAGATAACAAGTCTTAACAGTGAAGGCTCCAATTGGCAGGAGTTGGAGGCCCTGGAGGGTGCCTGATACTGACCAGCTGGGGGCACTCACTTTGTTATCAGAGGACTCTCATTGTTCTCTGTGGCATGTATTGGAGTGCCTGTCCAGTTACCCTTGAAATGACATGGCAGATATTGGAGGGCCATGCAAAAAACATAGGAGATTTTCTTGAGGCACATATTGGCATGCATTGGAGGGTCTAGTAGGGTAAGGGTTAATGCTTTTGTTTGACATATTTGTTACAGTATAATGAAGGCTACAGCCCTAGAGGAAGCGATGGTTACAGCAGTTCTGGAGGGTAAGTTGAAATGTCTGATCTTTATCGGTTGCTGGGTTATTTCTTGTCCTTTTTAATTTTTTTAAGTGTCGAGTACTTCTTTAACCCTCCTACGCAAACATACATTCTGTGCAAAGTTGTCCTTTCAGTCGAAAAATCAATCAAGTGACTGTTTTCAACAGTTAAGCGCTCCCAGCCCACATAAAGCAGGATTGACTGGCTGTGACTGTTTATGTAAGTTGATACAACAATGCTTTGACTGTAGGTGATTGATAAGCCAGCTGTGCCCAGCACTTCTCTGCTTTTGTCTGTTGACTGAATTTGACTAGTCACAGTGCTTGCTTGAAATATGATCGGACTGTTGGTGACTAGCCTGTGTAAAAGGCATGACATGGAAGAGGATTGAGTTTGTTGACTCTGTGACTGTTCAGAGCAGAAGGGTTAATATTATACTTCAGTATTTGTCTGAATTGACTTCTCTGTATTTAATCTCACTGCCCTCCAATATCTGCCACAGTACCAAGTCTTACGTTCAGAGCTCACTGGCAAACCAAAGTAAGCAAGTCTGTATGAGCTCCCCAGGCCTTCCTCATGCCTCAAAATCAGGGCTATAGACCATTATCATGTTGCAGCCATCTTGATTTTTTCCCATTCAAATCAACGTAACCAAAGCGAGGCTGGAAGGAAAAATAGTCCGGTTCCTTTCTGCACAAAACACATTATCATTTAGTACTGTTATTGGATACAGGGAACATGACTGAAATGTTGGCAGCATGATAAAGGTCTATTGCTGACCGGCAGATAAGCCCGCTAATGCACTCCAGAGTTCAATTGGTTGACAATCTAAAGCTCCCTACAATACACTTCAGCTGGAGTTGAGATGAAGACATTTCATTCTCGGGCAGTGGCCAAATAGTTTGAAAGCCTTATATTCACTCTTACAGCAATGTATTTGTTTGTAGTCATGATTCATGGTAAATGGGAAATTTCAACAAAAAGTCCTGATTTCAGTTCAATTTTGAGGTCTTGCTTGTTTTTATTTTATATCAGTTCTGCAGGATATCAAGGTATGGGATCAGATAACAACTTTGGCCCGTCTGGATATGGTAAGAAGAAATAATTGTTGGTTTCCTTATGTTTGTGAATGATATTCTAATTCATTTTGGCGTTCTGTGGCTGCTTAAAATCTTCAGAAATAACACTGATTGCAAAAAAAGTTACTTGATAATAAATTGAGCAAGCAAAGGTATTTTGTGCGATTTGATTTGTGATTCTATATACAACCTGGAACAATGATGTTTTTACGCTAAATATAAATCATAAGATTGCAAAGCAGCATGAGAAGCAAAACACAATCAAAATGACATCTGTGTTTTCCAGCTAAATTAAAATATAAAAGCCTGTCTAATTCATCTCCCTAAAGGCTGGTTCGTACTCGGCGCGAACGCAAAGTTTGTGATGTCAGGACAAGTTTTCACGCTGCAAATTCACAAGAGTTGAACACATTTCAACACCGGTGAATTCCGCAGCAAATGCTTCGTGACGTCAAATTCGCATCGCATTCACATGAAGTATGAGCCGGCCTTTACTTGACTAATTGAACATTTCAAATGCTTAAGTTTTGACATTTATCAGGCCGCAGTATCATTATTTCATATGCATCATGTTCTCGCGCCGGTATTATTTTGACAAGAACGGAACGAGGCACGGGATTACTTTTCACTCGACCTCTAACCTGGCGGGTTGAAGCCATCATCTTCAGGCAGCACACTCATATTCCCAGCCTCGCTCGCTGCGAGCGGGTCGCTGACAGATACTTCCGGCCTCGCTCCCTGCGCGTTTATCCGTCATCGGTTCCAAATACCGCAAAACCTTTGCGTGTATACACGTCATCCAGCGCGAACTGGTTAACTTGTGCTTTATTCCTTGGTGTATTTGAATTGCATGGTTTGATTTCGCATTAATTTCTCATACCCATTTTGATGCCTTTTTTCATTTGTTCTTCATTTGCTACCCTCTCTACTAACAGGTGGGGGCGCTAACAACGGACAGAGTTGGGGCGATTCAGGGGCGCGCATGAAGGCACCGTCACCTTTTGCTCCACATAAAGGCACGCAACGTACTCATCCATACCGGTATTAATTTGATCTTATCCCCGCTGGCTCGCACTCCGTGAAATTCATGTCCAAATTCCCACCAATCCCCCCCCCCCAAAAAAATCAGAACTCTTCAGACAGTTTCACAAATGTCGTCAAAGACTGTCTTCCATATTATTTTGTCACTTGCACCACACAAAGTGAGGTATTGCGGATAGCTACCTCCCCCAGAGATCCTACGCTTTGAAGTGAAACAAGGGCTGTTCATTTTCGAATAATTTAGTATTCAATTATTCGAAACTGCGTTTTGAATATTCAAATATTCAAAACTCGCTGTTCAAGTTTGCACACGCCAGCTCTGCATGCTGACGCCACGCCCCGTCAAATGTTGCACGCAAAATGCACCGGGTAAAATTTGCATGGAGTGATTGATGTTATGGGGCACTGGAAATTATTTTATAATTGTCAAGGGCTTTAGCCTGCTAAAAGGATGAGAACAATGAAACGCCGTCGACAAAAAAGTTGCTGTCGCCGTCGACAAATAGTGCTGTCGGACAATAAAGGCTCTCAACTTTATGATTAAATGTGACCTGTTCTGTCAAAAGCAGACGCTTCTGGGCAGAGGTTGAAATTGAGATAGGGCCAAAAAACGCTGTGGGGGTGATTTTTATCGATTTTCAAATGCTTGCATATTTGTAATCCTGAACATGCCTGAAATATATTATGAAAGTTTTAAACTCTAATTTGAACTCTACATATCCTATTTTTGATGATTTTGATAAGGTATATATTCAGTTAAAGAAATAACTGTTTTGTGACATTCGTGGCTATTTTCTCCGTTTTCTACTTATCGACACAATGAACTGCAAAATCGCATAACTCTGCCCAGAAATGAACGGTTTCAAAAATTAATCCACCTATTAAAAGGAAAAAGAACATATGTTAACAATATGTAAAAATATCATTTTCGACCTTATGCCCAGAAAAGTCTGATTTTGACAGAACAGGTCACAAACTACCATCACAGTCGTGTACGTGCATAGCTGTGTGCTTTCGAATATTCTAACCGGTAAAAAGCTATTTGAATATTCAGTTGATGATCAAATATTCGGATATTCGGGACAGTCCTAAGTGTAGCAGAAGTATGGTCTTCATTACCTTGTGGTGCATCTGACAAATGTTTTACCATTTTGGATCAGTCCTTACATTGAAAATGCTTGAAACTTCAACGCCTCTCAGATTTTGTGATAATATACGAGGTGGTTTACAGGGTGAAAAAATGTTTGATGATAACTGCGAGCCAGGCACAACTTAAACTTGCACGCTTACCAAGTTAGCATGCAAGTTTGTTGATCTTTCTTTTCATCTATTTCTCGTGTCATTTTGGGTTAGTTTTTGTCTTAACTTGTTTTTGGAAATATCTGTTGAAGATTTCCACTTATGTTCTGTCTTGTGTTGGTGCTTGAAGGTGTTCAATAAAAATGTGTTATTTTTTTAAAGATAATCCCCATCTTTTTTGTTTGGTCTCTGAAATCAAACAAACCATAAAGATTTGGCTTAATTTCTTCAAAATTGAAAGAAGCTAGTTTGCCATTTTGATGTAAAAATAAGAAGGTAATAGTTTTAGATGTTTTCTGTACTGCCTGTTTTTTTAAAACATTTCTTTAAAAATTGTATGAGAAAGACACAATCTTCAGTTCTAAATAATAGTTCATTTCAATACATGAAGTAAATTTACTTTAATGCAAACAACTTTGTGTCTGTCGTATGATAATTGTTTAGTGGCAATGTAAATAGCTTTTCTGTAGAGATGCTGTAATCCTTTTTTTTGTTGGCATTAAAAGGTTTTTTTTAACAAATCCACGGTAATACTCTTTGACATAAACAGGCTCATAATCTTAATAAACGGTTTTCTTTTTACATGTTCAACCTTAAATTCTAGAAGCAAGGTATTCAGTAATTGTTTTTGCTTAAGACATTTAAACTAAGATTATAAGATATGATCTCTCCAAGTTGTATCTGGTAGTCTCAAAATAAGGTTTAAACATTAATTGATTCATGATATTTGCCTTTTCCAAACTCACTTAAACTAAACGTTTTTACATAAATTTCTTAGTTCCCCAATTTAGGTTGAAGGAAATGAATGTATGATGACAAACTTCACACTTGTATTTCTTTGTTTAATTATAAAGTTCTCATTTGTTAAAAAGGGACCTTTTGTTTAAAGGGAATATACATCATTTGCTTTTGCTGTGATTTTCAGAAATGGATGGAATTGGGGGGTTGGAAATATATAGCAAATATAGTTACACTGACTTTTTGAGGTTTTGGGTTCGAAAATGCAATAAAAACCAAGAAAAACAATCATTTTCCTGTAGTCTGGTTCCCTGACTCCATATAAGAAGAAACAGCAGTTTACATACATTGGGGAATTGTAAGGTCAGGGAACCAGTCTAGCTGGCTCGTACCCGTTCATAGGTTTGTAATCGATTGCAAACAAGTGCGATGGTCAATTGGGGCCAGTATTTGAAAAAAAGCCAGTTGTTTCCAACGCTGATCGGCCGATCAGCGTTGGAAATTGATACAAAAATACCACTTTTCTTGAAAATGACAGTATACCAGGTGCCATGATTTTACAGGGTGCTTTACACTGTCATTCACTAACAGTCCAGCAAGGTATTTCAAAATGATTTGGTAGTTTTATTTTTTGATGTTTGCAAATGTTGTATTTTCCCTTTAATGCAACTAACTATTCATCCATACTTCATTTATGTTTAAAAAATCTGTAAGTTTTAATGTTTATTGCCATAAATTGATTTTTTTATGAACTGAGGTCAGTTAACACTATGAATGCTGATAATAGAAGTACATGTAGTTGGCATATAATGTAGTGATAAAATACATCTTAAGAATAAAATTAATCTTACATGTTACTGATAAAAAGCCAGTAAACCTGCTTGTTAACCATTTACAGTTAATAATATTAGAAAAGTACATCTTTTGGCACTATTAATTTTGAATAACCATGTAAATGTTACTTTGACTTTTGTTGGTGAAATAATGCTTGTATTAAGCTAAAAATGTAACCGTGTTTTATCAAAGAATCCCTTGCTAAACAATAAAAACCACTTAAAATTAAGTCGATGGAGAAGTTTGCTTATCTTTTAGTCTGATTCAGTTACATTTAGGGCTGTTTTTTTAATCGGAATAAATAAACATCTGATCAATAAACAACAACAAAAAGAAGAAAAAAAGGATTTTAAGTATTTGATTTTCTTTTCTTCAGCAATGGAGAATTTATATTTAATTTCTTTATAATTGTTTTATTGCTATAAAGAGTAACAGTGATATTATTATAAAGTAAAACCCAAGAATTGTTCATGAAATTTGTTATTTCGCGGCTAAAACTTGGGAGTGCATGGGCATTACTACTCAGTAGTATGACCCTATCATAAAGTTATTTTAAATTAAACTGACTACTGCAGGTCGTTAAAAATCGAATTGAATAAGATTACAACGAATTGAATTAGATTAAATTTTGAATGAGATTAAAATGAATTGAATTAGATTAAAGTGAATCAGATTAAATCAAATCATTTAACACTGACACTGAAGGTAAGACCTTTCTATTAATCTAAAAAATTGAATTGAATTAGAATAAATTGAATTATTTATGTAAGTTTTATAAGCCATTTTAAAGGGAATATACATCATTTGCTTTTGCTGTAATTTTCAGAAATGGATGGAATTGGGGGTTGGAAATATATAGCAAATATAGTTACACTGACCTTTTTGAGGTTTTGGGTTCGAAAACGCTATAAAAACCAAGAAAAAACAATCATTTTCCTGTAGTCTGGTTCCCTGACTCCATATAAGAAGAAACAGAGCAGTTTACATACATTGGGGAATTGTAAGGTCAGGGAACCAGTCTAGCTGGCTCGTACCCGTTCATAGGTTTGTAATCGATTGCAAACAAGTGCGATGGTCAATTGTGGCCAGTATTTGAAAAAAAGCCAGTTTTTTCCAACGCTGATCGGCCGATCAGCGTTGGAAATTGATACAAAAATACCACTTTTCTTGAAAATGACAGTATACCAGGTGCCATGATTTTACAGGATGCTTTACACTGTCATTCACTAACAGTCCAGCAAGGTATTTCAAAATGATTTGGTAGTTTTATTTTTTGATGTTTGCAAATGTTGTATTTTCCCTTTAATATAATTTCCTCACATACTTATTTCATGTAACAGATATCTACATACCATCTTCATGAAAAATTGGTTTCCTTAAAAGGACGGTAATTCTGGGTTATTCCAATTAAAATCAACATGAACACTAATAAGAACTCTTAAAAGTTGCCCTTGTGCAATTTAATTTTAACTTTTTTCTGAATAAATTTTCAATTTGTGTTAAATTTCAATCAGAAAACTACTTTTTAAATTTTTGTTCAGGGTGTGAATTTCCTGTGAATAAAATGTCAATAACTTTTGGATTGCAAGAAAAATGACAAATTTGTAACAAAAATGTTGGGTTTTTTTTGGGGGGGGGGTGGGGATGTAACTAAAAAGTAGTATGGGGAGGGCAGGTTTAACCCTTTGATGGCTAATTCGTAAAGTCAATTAAGGCATTTATGCTGATGCTTGAAATTCTAAATTTTTCCATAACGAAGCCCTGGATGAAGGGATCTAGGCGTTTGGAAATCCATGAGAAAATTTATTCAAATAGGACAATCCTTACTCCCAAGGAGGTGTGAAAAAAAATTCATTGAAATTGGAGGATTCAGGACTGTTTGGGTTAAATTAACTTCAACAAGAAGAATCTCATTCTTATTAGCTAAAACTTTTATCTCCCGTTACAGATGACAGTCACAGCACGTCTGACTTACTAAGCGACTCCTCACTTGAAACGAGATGGATGTTAATCTATGCGTCTTCAAAGCAAGGTCATCTTGCATTTGTCACTCCAAGAGACCTCTCAACGAAAGAGAGAGATGTCTGGGAGTTGTTCTTTAAGAGCAGACTTCCGTAAAAGCAGCTGAATTCGAGAGAAAAAAATTGTGCAGGTGAAACCTTACAGTCCCTCATGGTATCTCATTGGTCTTTATTTTTTTTTTATACACGTCTGTTTTATGTCCAAAACCATTTAATGGTGTTTATAATTTTCTTTTTTTATAAGGGATTGAATATTCAGAGATCAGATTTGTTGGGGCGCATACCTATGTTCCCCAATACCTATGTTCCCCAATACTGATGTTCCCCAAACCTAACCCTAACCTAACCCTAATCCTAAGGATTTCGGGGAACATCGGTATTGGGAAACATAGGTATTGGGGAACATCGGGTAGACCCCGACTTGTTGAGAATGTAGCAAGTGAAATGCAGAAGCAGTGGTGTGTCCAACATGGGTGATTGGAAATCTTAGTGAAAAAGGTTCATCTAGGGTGATAAAACTTGCCAGGAACAGGGTTTAAAAGCAAGGAAAGGGATTTTAGTTTCTAAAGAGAATTACTGGGTGTCGTGTTTAAATTGGAAAACAAATTCTCAAGGTGCATTACATTACTTGGTTTTCATCAAAATTTTAAAGAATTCTTGAAGTTTCATTTGCAGGCATAATTACAAGTGTTAAATCACAATGATAATCAAACTAATCTATGTTATCACTGAATCAAATAATGTATTTGTTAATCCAGCAGGTTACCTATAATAATCTAAATATATTACTCAGATATTTCTATTAATACTACTAATACAAATAGTAATATTTCATTCATAAATGCCTTAGACAGTTAACCCTCTATTGATCTAGACCCCGTCACACGGGTGGATTTAAACTGTTGATAAAAACCCCTGCGTTCTGAGCCACATAGTAGTAGTACACGCCGTGTGCTGCCAATCCCCATATAAGTAGCCTTGTTCAATGTGGTCTCTCGGCTTTTTGTCGAAGGGAGATAATCGGGCCCTGCACCCACAATCAACGCGGCTACGTGCGTGTACCACCGACCCTTGTCCATACGAACGGTTCGGTACTAACACAACCAGCAAGCACACACACGTGAGTACGGACTGTACATGTACGCATGGTGTAATAAGGCAGTAAATGTAGGCCTACTGTGTTCTGCGTGTGGGTGTACGTACGTACGTGTGGGGGATATACGCGCCGCGTGGCCTGTCGAACGACCGCCTTGTTGGGTCTGCAACTTCCGGGTTTAATGTCTTTCTTTACCTTTTCGTCCAGTTTTGGAAAAAAATGGGCGGGCTTCAGGATATGCGGGTATGCCGTGATGATTATGTAGGTTCGTCTTGGACCAATCACATGAAACAACCTTCCCAATAGTATGATTAATTCATTTTTAAGCTGACCAATTGTAAGCTTCACAAGAATCATGTGACGTCGCGCGGCATGCATAATGCATTAGTCATCATGGCGTCTTCCATGTCTTTTTAGCGAGAGCGAAATGTTCGTCACTTTCGAATCAATGTCAAATTGTTGAAAGTTTTTCGGCTCGTGTAATGAATCCATTTGAGTGGGCAACGATCGTCTAATGACAGCATTACCTGCAGAATTCGTTGGAGCCTTCAATACTGCTTCGGACAGATTGGGACTGAACGACTTTCACCCACAGCAACGGGCCGCCATTGCAGCGTTTCTTCGCGGATGCGACGTGTTTGTTAGCCTATCGCGGGCTGACCAATGAGAATTCAGTATACGCGGGGGGTGGTACCTCATTACCGTAATAGGTTTTGCTGGGTCAACTCAAAACCATCAAGGCGTTGGGTTACGCGGACTAGCTCATGCATGCACTGTGTGTGCATGGCTGTTGTACGAGTACAGTACATGTACGTGTGTGTACGTGCATACGTGCACGCATAGCCTCGCTGTATGGTACAAGTTACTTTCTCACTAGCAGCGTACGGGCATCGATATATGTGCACGCAATTATGCCATGCCAAGTTGATTAGGGATTTTCTTATCGGCGATTTTTTTTTTATCGGCGAATCGATAAGCCCAACGCCTTGGTCAAGGCTACATATAAGGAGTTTTTTAGCACTATGCGTGTGAGGCACATACCATAACATGGCCAGAGGGGTGTTTCACAAAACATGAAGTAAAATTGTAGAATAAAATTGTTAGAAAATTGTGATTTTTGGATTATTTGACAGAAAGGTATTTAGAAATGGGATTAAATAAGTCCTTGGCCGGTATTAAACAAGTTCATTTACCGGCCAGGAGCCTGGATGAAGATTATGGCCCAACCCAAACATAATCGGCGACCAGGCCCCTAGCCTGTTTTAAACTTACTTGCTTGAATACCGGCCAAGCACATAGTTATTCCCTAATTAAATCCTACGTTAGGAGTCAAAGGGAACATATTAGACCTAAGACCTAATGACATAATGGCTTTGTTTACATGCGCTTTCATATGGGAGCGAAGTCGGGACGCCAGACGAATCAGGGACCGTCTACCACATAGAAAAGTGCACATGTAAACAAAGTGTGACGTCATTAGGTCTCGGGCCTATTCAGTGGATTGTTTTCAGCTTTTATTTGGACAAGAAATAATGGACTGCTTCAAAATAAATACAGTCTTTTGGAGGGAGTTTATTTGAGGTCATTCAAAATGATACCTGAAATAAATGACGCCATTTATGGGGGAGTAGCACTCCATACGGTGAAAAAAAAAAAAATCCTGAAGATTCTTAAACGCTGATTTGGCTAAAGTGTTTGAGGAATAAATATCGGTATCATTGGGAAAAAATTCTGACATTTTATCTGAAAATTAATGACCAATACGGGGGGAGTCAAAAAAATGAAACCCAAATGTCGGGACCATTAATAGTGAAGTTCTGCATGTAGCACTTTCAATATCTAGGATATGAAAGCCCAATTCATAAGCTTTTGTTTAGTACAAGAATCATTCAAATCACTCATGTACTTTTCAAGTTGCGGAGTTTTAAACACAGCCGTCATTTTAAGGTTCTGTCCACGGATCACAAAAAAGTTCAGTGTTCTCTCAGCAACACAAAAACAAATCACATAAGGATGTGTGTGAATTGTTTTCGTTTTGCTGAAAGAACACACACCGTTTTTGTGATCCGTGGACAGAAGTTAAAAACAGTGGTTGCGTTTAAAACTCCGTAACTTGAAAAGTATTTGAATGATTCTTGTACTAAAAGAAAGCTTATGAATTTGGCTTTCATATCCTAGATTTTGAAAGTGCTACATGCAGAACTTCACTAAATCAATTGTCCCGACATTTGGGTTTCGTTTTTTTTACTCACCCTGTATTGGCTTGTTTTCAAAATCAACATTTGGTGATGTGATTCCTCTTTTAAGATACGATAACATATAAAATAAAGGATTGTTCTTGGTGTTAATATCTAATTGTTACAACATGTAATCCTAAATAATAGACACATATAACCAATGAATTACATTGTAAAAGCGTTTTAATGTTCCATGTTTAACATGATAACATGATTAACCGTTTGTAGTAAATCTAATAATCAGATCAGTTCCGGAGTACACTCTGCAAAACCTTTAAGACATTGAGGATTTTTTTTTTTCAAATAGAAGGGGACAAAGCATGTGGTGTAATTAAGAGAGTGGTACACAATCTTCAAAACGGGTCAATTAGCCTTCGAACATGTAGAATGTATGATATCAGAAAAAGTAATCGCAAAATAAGAGTTGCAACGTGATTCCGTACTAATTTGGTGCCTATGGGTTTGTCAAATGTGTGGAAAAAGGTGAAGTTTAGCTAGTCTAATTCACAAGTGACAGTCAGTCAGTCAGTGAGATAGGGCAAAGCAGACTGTAGCCAGTGCGGTATCTCGATGAAGTAGTCCAGGTCACAGGTCATTCGGTATAAAATCGCTGACGTGATGTTATGCGATGTTATCACGCGTATGCCAATTCTGCTAGTAATTAAAACACAAGCGTCGTGCCCGTGTCACCTATGCGTTCATCAAGGGTGGATCCAGGGGGCCCCCCCCCCCCAAAAAAAAACGAACCTTATTTTTTTCTAAGTGACCTCAGGCTCGCAATAAAGGCAGGCACTGTGTACACCACCATCTTTTCCTCAAAAAGATTTGGTTAAAGTGGTCAGAAATTGCCTCAGATCGCCTCACAGAGCATCTAGTATCCCCCCCCCCCAAAAAAAATTGCGGCCCTTAAGCGGGCCCTGAACCCCAGGCCGTCAGTTTTGGGACCCACCTTTTGGGGAACCAACATTTTTTTGGGCCCCCCCCCCCAAAAAAAAAATTGTGTTCTTGATCCGCCCTTGGCATTCATGCGCCTTCAATGAGCGTTCGGTTATCCAGAATGACCCGTAACCCATATCATTGAAATACAGAACTGGCGTATTGCAAACTTAAACCAGTGTAAGTATCTGAAAGAAGGATCTTATTCAGACTTGGACGAAATACTTCGTTCTTGGCCTTTTTTCACACTAACCAATCGCTTAAAGTGAGTAGGGACATGTGTATGCCTACCCATGAAAACCTTAGAATGAGTTAGAGTAACACTGAAATTCTTAAATTGATTGTCATGGCAACTGCACGCAACTCTAATATTAATTTTAAATGTTTATTATTAACCAATATCCTCATAAAATAATGATGTATACGCTGCGTTACCTCTAAGTGGTTTTTCTATTAATCAGTTGAACATGCTTTCTGTTACATGTATAATCTTTTCACATGTATAGATAAAATATTCTCTGGAATTTAGTATATTTGTAAACGTTTTATTCTCAGGAACATCAGCCTGTGTTCACAGAATAAAAAAAAAACTCATGCTTTCTAGTGGTCGGGGCATTTTTTCAGCAATTTTATCAACTCTCACGATGTATGTATAGACGGCGCCTGTACTTTCTTAATTTATATTCATGTATCTTATTCATGTAGAATTGTAGATTCTTATATTGCTCACGGAATTATGAAATATATTTTGTACTCTTATAAAGAATGATTCATTTGTGTGCCTGGCTATCTTCTTTCCTATTTTGAAAAGAAATCAATGTTCCATTGATTTTATCCAATGTATGTAAAAACTGCAAGGGTTTAACCTTGCATTTTTATCTTATGACAACTTGGCTGAGTCCAAGTCAGTTGGATTGTCTTTAAGAAATATAAGCATGTACAAGGTCACTATATGACCAGTCATGGAATACTGCAATCATTATCTGGGCTGGTGCTACGGTCTGCTACTTGGCCCTTCTTGATAGAATCCAACAGCGGATTATTAATTTTGTAAGGACTGGACCTTGCATCATCCCTAGTACCGCTGGGCGAGTAACTCGATTACTCGAGTACTTGCAAGTAGTTTATGCTACTCGTTGTTTTCATCTACTTGAGTAATCCGTCCTGGCGCGAGTAGAAGCAGGCACTCAAGAGTAGTAATTTAGAGTTG